CACAGGTTGCGTGTTCAAGACCAATCAAGGCAATGCACTGACAAGCACTGTAAAATCAGCACAAGTGCAAAAACAAGGATGCCAAGTTTTTGAAACAAAGTTTGAAAATGCTCGCTTCAAGCTCGCGGACCTTTTATGAAAAGGGATCGCAGATGGCGCTCGCTTGTCTGCTGAGATCCAGCATGTCAAGAAAACTGCAGTTAGCATATGCCATCCTCGATGCAAAGATGGGCATTCGAAATAGCAAAAACTGCAGGGAATGTCAACAAAACCAGTGCAGTTTTTAGCATATTCGTGCCTCCTAAAACCGACGAAATGACCTGATATGACACATATACTGTATGATAAGAATCGACCTTCATTAAACACGTACTGTACTTGGTTTAGGGTTCACTGTAGGGCTTACTGTACAGTACCGTTGAGTTTCTGCTAGCTTTCTCCTCTTCGAAGAGTGAAAGCACATGCTGGCTTTCTCTTCTTTGATCAGTACAGTACTGTACAACACGGTTCTGTACGTAGTGTACTCTACAATACAATACTGTACAGCACGCTCCCCTTTTGCCCTCGCCCCTGTCACTCTCAAAGTCGTGTTCACGGCAGCCTGCAGCAGGAACCCATCCCACCCAGTGGCACAGCAATGAATGTGACAGGCAATTATGAGGCATGGAAACACGGAAGGAACCATTCGAAGGCGGCTAGCCCGGAATATATGCTATCTACGGTCTCTGCAGGGTTTGGACAACAGAAATTATACAAGAAGGGTTGCCATCCACTTTGCCCGTTGGGCTTCATGTACAGTAAGAGAAGTCGTAACATTTGCTGTTTCCCCCAAGTAACCGCGGCTGACACAAAATATGGTTTCCAGACACTCCGTCTGAAACTTTCTACCGAACCGTGGGCTTGCAAGCGACAAGAGGCACTTCCAGTACTAAAGTTGTACTGCAACCAAGCACAATCCAGCCAGGACGCCAAACGAGGCATTTCCAATAGAAGAAAAGTTGTACTACAACCAAGCACAATCCAGCCAGGACGCCAAACAATTAAGGCATTTCCAGTACTAAAGTTATACTACAACCAAGCACAATCCAGCCAGGACGCCAAACGAGGCATTTCCAGTACCAAAGTTGCGCTACAACCAAGCACAATCCAGACAGGACGCCAACCCTTTCCAGCACTGAAGTTGTACTACAACCAATCACAATCCAGCCAGGACGCCAAACGAGGCATTTCCAGTACTAAAGTTGTAATACAACCAAGCACAATCCGCCAAACGATGCATTTCCACTACTAGAGTTGTACTACAACCAAGCGCAATCCAGCCAGGACGCCAAACGAGGCATTTCTACTAGTATAGTTGTACTACAACCAAGCACAGCACAATCCAGCCAGGACGCCGCACGAGGCATTTCCAGTACCAAAGCTTTTTTGGCGTGACTGCGGTCCCACAAGAAAGTAAGAATAAGAGGCAACTATCACTGTACAAGGTGAAACAAGGGGCTGCGATATACAGACTTAGCCGGCAAAGTCGTTCAGCATTCATTAAAATGCAATCGGGTCTACCGCGCTCACTGGCCCCGCTCCCCGCAATCTGGGGTCGCGCAATGGCAAGCACAAGGCATGGCCCCGCTTCCCGTAGTCAAGGGTCGCGCAATGGCCCACATATGCATTGTCGCCGTCGCCTCGGGCGGCTGTAGGACTTATTTCCCAACGAAACTTCCGTTTACGCGCGTTACGGGAAACCCTCACTGCGCTGCTGAGAAACCCTGTGCAATCACTCTTGTTTTTCTCCTAGCGGACATGCGGGGTAGGTTCGGGCCCGGTCTTCGGGCACTGAAGATTCGATGCCGCTGTGAAAGTTTAAACCCTTATACCAGTATACCTTCTCTAAACACGGCACGAGTGGGGATTCTTTTCTCACTACCCAGCTCTGCTGTCCGGCTGTCTTGAGCCTACGTTTGACCTACGGAGCTATGCAGTGAAACGCGTCAAATTGGGCATGAGGGGAAAATTGAACTATCTGTTACGCCCTCATCACGTACACAGCTTTGTCGTGTAACGTGATTCTTGTGAAACTTTTCCTCTCTTGTTGCACTTGTCACATGCTCCTTTGAGCTTCATCTTCTCTTCTCACACGCTTCTTTAAGCACTTTGTTGAACATCTTCACTTCCATTCTTTTGTCTTCTTCCTCACTCCTCAGATGTCCTATAGCAGTTTTGCGAATTTCGTTCCACACACAATTGGCATGGACTCACTCACTCTACGTGCACACTCACTTTTTCTGCACGTCGCGGTAGATCAAAGTTCTCACGAAAGGATAGGCTTTACTGCCCCTTCTTTCATGTCATGCATTTGTGAAACTTTGCTCCTTGAGTGGATTTTTCCCACTCTCACTTGTCTTGGGCTTTCGCCCTCACTCTCTTTTCTTCTTTCACCTTAACCGCTCTCAGTAATAACCTTGTGCCAGCGGCCCTTCAGTGGCTGCTTCTGTACTGTCCGGCGTTCCCGGACTGACGGGCCTTGTCATCGTGGCACTTACTGCTTGGACTCGACGTCTGAGTCTTGATCTGTCATCTTCACCATCATCACTTCTGGATCTGAACCTTACTCCATCACTTGATTGACGCTGCTGACGAAGTTGCGTCCTCTCTTCAATCAATGTGTCAAGACCGCGGTCTTGTTCTTGGCGTAAAGCTGCTTCTTCTTGTCTAAGTTCTTCAAGTAGCATAGGGCCAATTTCTTCTGCCTCTCGGATGCTTGCTGCCCTATAAGCTTCAAAACTTAGCAGCGCTGCTCCTTCAAGTTGTTGTTGACCCGCTGCTTCCAACCAGGCCCTTCTTTCAGCAAACGTCATGGCATCCCACTGTTCTTCTGAAACATCTTCTGGTCTTTCATAAAGCACGTTCCTCTCTGGTGGATGGACTTCTTCTTCACCATGGTCTTGGCCTCCTTCATCTTGTCCTTCAACTGTATTGTCTGTGTCATATCTTTGCCTCCACACGCTTTCCGCGTGATCTCTTATGCACTCAACACAGCTGTGTGTCGTATGCACCCTTTTGTTCCGCGCGCAGCGGTTCTCATTACACCATTGGCAAATTCCATCGCACATCTCTGAACCCTGTGCCCTTGTTGAGGGTTCCCCTGCATTGTGAACTGCTTTATCTCCCGGGTGGCAAACCCAGCATGATCGATAACCTCGTCCTTGCGCAGTTCGAACTGACATCTTTTCAGTTGCAGGGCTCCACCATTTGCATGACCGCTTATGGTAGACATACCTTCCATTGTAAACATACACGGGTTCTTCACCCCTGAGGAAATCATATCCTTCTTTGGCCTTCTTGAATAAAACCATCACTTGTTGCATCAGGAAGATTAGTCCCATAATGCTTAAGGTGACCATCACCAGGTCCATCATCTCTTCCATTTTTCCTCTTTCCTCTTCAGTTCCTTGGTCTTCTTTGCTGTGGGCCGAAACGCCTGCGGTTGCGGTTATAGGTATACACAGAATCCATACTGCACTGCCCACATAGGTCCTTGTAGTCTTCAACTTATTCTTCTCCAACGCTTCGTAATTGGCTTCTTTTGACCTTCTCAACTTCTCCGTTTCTTCTGCCAATTCTTCGGCCGTCTTCTTGAACGTTTCCATATTCTCCTCGGCCGGTTCCACTTTGTGGGTCTTCTCTTTCTTTTCCTTCTTCTCTCCTTCTTCTTTTTCGATCTCTTCTGAGTCACTTGACTTCGCTTTTGACTCTTCTTCTTCAGACTCTGGGTCCGATGCTGCCTCGCTTTCTTCCTTTTTCTGCTTCTGTTGCTCTTCTTGCTCGTCGTCTGTCTCTTTGTCTTCACGGTGCTTCTTGTTCAACTCTTGAACTTTCTTCCATAAGTCGTCGGCGCTTAACCGTTCAGTGTTCTCACGCCTTGAGCCGGACCTTCGAGCCTTGAGGGTTAGGGATGGGTTTAAGGGAAATCAAAATCACTGGAAAACGCTGACGTCCAATCATATTCACAATCACGAAGCTCCAAGCTAAAGCTCAAGTGAAGACAAGCGGAATCAGCAATCGTTCAATCTCCAATCACTGCGCTTCAGAAGTGAAGCTGCCGAAGATGCCGGATGTTTGCGTCGAACTGATGCCTGTATCTCGAAGCGATGCGCCACATGTTCACATGACGGTCGCAGTTGCCTCGAGACCCCCCTGGTGAGGGCGGGTGGGTCACAAAAACAACTTGAGTCGTGACTCTGCAGTCGTGATCTCATTCACACTGTACAACTGATCAAGCAGCACTGCAACTGTTCAACTGAAAATCATTGGCTCAAAGTGAAAACTTCATGCACATGTCCGCGTAAAGGTAAGCATTCAGAGATGATACGTTTTTCCCCCCCACCCCCCCCTCAAGGCTCACGAACACACTTTTGGTAGGACCCAAGCAGCGTGTTCTCACGCCTAACTGCGGTTCAGGCAAGACTCGGGCATCGCAACGAAGTCCCGATCTGCGTCCAGTAACGTCTTTGGTTGTCGGTGTGAGACCGAACCTAAAAGGTCAAACATGAAGCTACAAGCAGAGGACGTGTGACAACTGTACAATCCAAGGTGCTTGAAGCTGAGGCATGAAAGACCAAACAAAGAGTCGTTGAGGCCAGATTAGCCGAAACATGGGAAACTAAGGCTCAGAAGAGCCGAGAAGAAAAGTGAGCCTTTGGCTCGGGTTTGCTAGAAGGAGAGGTGCAGGGCTACACAGCAAGCACAAACTGCCTAGCGAGAGCCTAAGCAGCATCGAAGTGACGTGCGGAGCAGCTGTACACCTCTACGGCTTCAGTTGGACTCGACGTAGGAACTCAGAGGGACACAGCAGCTCGCCTCAGCCAGCAGCCCACGCCCCGCAGCACGCCACCGCAGCCAGTAGCCAGCGGCAGCAGCCAGAAGAAGTGGAGCAGCACGTAGTTCCCCGAGAGAGCCACCGTAGAAGCCGTCAACGATGCAAATGTTCAGTGTTGTAGCGAGTTTCACGGATCATCGTGAATGAGACGGGCCGGCCGCCTCGCACGAAGGTGCTGTGCCAAGACATTGGAGGCACCAGCAGAAGCCAGGATGGCCCCCCGCTCCCAAAGCGCTGCACGATGAAGCTCTGCATGCCAGCTCACCCTGCCCGATCCACGAGCCCGGTGCTCGCGAATGCTGTTGGCCGCCGCATCGGCCCGGTCGTTGAGGTCCCTGCAGCGATCAGCCGTGAGGCCCCAGGGAGCAGTCCAGTTGGGCCGCCGACCATGTGCAGGAGTCCACGAAAGCTTCAGGTCCAAGCCACCGGCACGCACATCACGGAGTAGCCTCGCAGCCTTGTGAGCCAGTAAAGGCATGGAGCACGCCTCAGGGTGAGCCACCGCCTGAAGAGCAGAGTTGCAATCCACCAGGATGCCAACCTGACAGCCTGGGGCCAACTGTGCACGAGAGATCGCTTCGAAGAGGGTCGTCAAGGTGAGGAGCTCACATCGGAAGGCCGACTGGTCCTCACAAGCATCACCGAAGACGAAGGTGCCGTCGCCGCTTCCGAAGATCACGGCACAGCCGCCGACATCAAACTTAGCACTGCCATCGGTCGCGATGAGCAGACGCTCGCCCACAGTAGCGAAGTTGCGAAGATGCGCCACAATGCTCTGAAGGATGTTTTCAACGTCCGATGCTGCAGGAGCTGCAGGGTACTCAGTGATTTCGGCCGCAAAGAGCCGTTCACCAGCACGGGTGGAAGGAGGTGCGAGACCTTGCCGCAATCCCGTCGTTGAGGTGCAACACCAGGTGAGATGCGCCCGGCTGGGCTGCAAGAGGCCACAAACACACGCCGTGGTGTCGGGTGAGCTCATCTCCAGCCGTTTGCAGTGGTACCAGATGGAGCCGCCCGAGCCCAGTGCTGCAAGGCGAACTTCACGTGTAGGCTCAGCCGCGACTGCAAGGCGGTGACCTTCAAGCGCAAACCGAGCACTGCGAAGCGGGGCCCCCAGGCTGAGACCACGGGCCAACGTTGCATCATCGCGGTGGCCACGATTGCGGATCCGCCCACACGAATGCACGCCCTGCCACTTGTAGTGGTCCACAAGCCAGCGCTTGACCACATCAAAGGATTCCCAGCCAAGGTGGCACTGACGGAGGGTGCCCGAATCGTCGAGCCGTGCCAGGATGGCGCCATTGCCTTGGACCTGCCAGCCTAACCTTTGCACAACCGCCGCCGCACCAGGGAGGAAGCGACGCCAGTCACCACAAGCAACATCAAGCCCAGCCGTGTCGAGCCAGGCCGGGGGCCGAGCCTTGAAACGCCAGGCAGCCCGCAGGGATGCCCAGTCCGCCGCCCATTCAGGGTCCAAACTCCAGCCAAAGGAGGCACACAGCAAGACTTTAGGGGACTCGAAGGTGGCGTGCTTTTGCAGGACCGCACAAGTGGAGTGCCAGACGTCGCGCAAGCAGTCGCGGTCCGGGCAGGCGACACCACCAGCCCAAAACATGGCCGAGTGGACCAGTTGCAGCACAATGCGACGGAGCTGGGGCACCTCCCCTCCCAGGAGCTTGAGGAAGCGAAGGCGATGCAGGAGCAAGCGTGGACTAAACTTAAGAAGCCCCAGGGCACCCTCCTGCATGTCGAGGGTGATGCCCAGCACCTTCAAAGTAGTCACGCGTGGGTAGCTCCTGGCACTGGCCCACTGATCGAAAGTCCCGACATCGGGTGGACACACCACAGCACACTTGCTGGCACGGCACTGGAAGCCGAAGGCTTGGTCAAAGGAGTCAGAAGCCCTCAATGCCACATCCATGGCCCCAAGAGGGTCCGCACACGAGCAGGAAGGCCACAGCACCCGGTCGTCAATGAAGATGAGGCAGTCGGTGCGTCCCTTGGCAAAGGACTGGACCCACATGGCCCAGATATGGCCGACCGCGACCGCGGCCATTGGGGAGAGTGGGCATCCCTGCGCCAGGCCCCGCGCCGGGCTGCCCCATGCACTGCTGGACCGGCCCTCGTGCAGAAAGAGCCTCGAGGCATCCTGGTAGAAGGAGGTTAAGGGCTCAGCGAGGCCAGCAGGAGCACCAAGGTGCCGGAGCACCATACCCACCGCCTGGACATCAAGAGAGTCGAAGAACCGCGTGAGGTCCTGCTGGCAAAAGACTTTGCCGCCGCTCTGCCACGCATGAAAAAGCCGGGCATGCGCGTCGCCCGGGCCTCTACATGGTGCACCGCCCAAGGTGTGGTGGCCCAGCCATGTGTCCATCCACGGCAGCACATTGCGAGAGATGCAGTGGGCACCCGCTCGCCAGATGACAGGGCACAAGGCGATCGGTCGGTATTCATCCAGGCGCTTCGGCACCAGGGCAATCAGTGCCCGGCGCCAGAGTCGAGGAACGTACTTCGTGGAGAGCACCGCATTCCACAGAGTGGCCGCCGCTTCCCACCACGGCACTGGGAGGCGGAGCAGAAGCTCCGCTGACCATCGGTCGGGGCCCATCGCTTTCCCCCGCATTGCCTTGGTGGCCCGCATCAGAGCCTCAGCTTCGACCTGGAGCACAATGTCCGATTGCGGCCCGCCCGGGACACGGTCAAGGATGCGTTGCACGGCATCGAAGTTGACAGGGGACTCCGGCTTCCAGTGCTGCAGCCACACTTTACCATGTTCCTCGACAATAGAGGCAGGGTGAACAGAGGAAGGGACACCAGCATGGGCCTGAGGAGATTGCTCCATGGCCAACTGATGGTCAGCTTTGCGCTTGACCCAGGCGAGGGCACGAGAAGGGTCCTCCTCAACACGGCAGCGCCACCTGTGCACTCTGGCCTCCGTCTCCTGCTGCTGAAGCTCAGCATGCAAATGAGAGATCACCTGGGTGGCACCTGCAAGGTTGGCAGCATGTATCACAGGGAGGTCGGGGAAAGTGGCACGAAGGAGCCCAGCCCGGCGGCCCACCGCACGCCACAGCTTCTGACAGTGGGGCTGTTGCCGCAGTTGGTGCAATTGCCCAAGCAACTTGCGAGATGAACGGAGGGACTGGGACTCATGACCCTGGGGGCCGACACGATGGTGGGACTCGTGGCGGGCACAAGGGAGCCAGTGGTCGCTCCTGCGGGCACCAGAGGCATCGAAGAGCGAAGTGGCACCCAGCGTGCGCTCGGCCACGTCTGACAAGAAAGCCCAGGCTTCATCAAGAGCCCCGCCTGCAATAGAACTCTCAAAGTGTGCAGCATCCCAGACCCTACCAAAGTTAGACAGGATGTCTTCAGTGGCCGTGGCAGGGAGCTCACGAAACTTAGGCATGGAGAAGCTGTCGGCACGGCTCAGGCACCGCGTCTCGTAGAAGACACACCCGTGGTCCGAAAGGTGCGGGCGTTCGAACTGCTTGACAGCCGTCGCAATGATTGACCAATGGGCCAGGCCAAAATCAATGCGCCGGGTGCGCGTGGGATTTGTTGGGCCGGCTTGGGTCCAGTCCGCCTCATCCAGAGACCGGAGCTCGCCATCGCACAACAGCTGCACTACAGCTTGGTCAGACTGGTCAACATTGAAATCGCCGAGCAGGATGTATGGGCCGCCGAAGGTCGCAGCTGCACGCCTAACCTCACCTAAGGCCTGGGCTGTGGCAGCTGGCTGACCAGGGAAACCGTAGAAGGCCACCACAAGGGTGATGCACTTGCTGCCAGCAGCCTGCATCTCAAAAGCACCTGCAGCACAGCGCGCAGCCACATGAGGAGGGAGCTTAAGGTTCACCCGATGCACGGGGAGGGAGGCGACTAAGGCTACCCTATGCACACCCTTGGCAGCATCGATGTCGCTGAGAACAGCCCGATACCCATGGGCACGCCAGCGCTCACCAAAACCCTGGGCCGACAAAGGGTTGATGTCAGCCTCCTGGAGAGACAAGAGCTCAGCCCCACACGACTGGAGGAAGTCGGCACACAGGTCCACTTTGGAGATGGCCGTGCGGTTCGCATTGATGCTCAAAAGCTTGACGAACACGGCGAGGAGGGGATTCGCATGGAGATGGCAAGCTTGGCAGCCGCGGCAGCACGGAGCACCTGGGAGCAGAAGTCGGGGTCACCTCCGGCACGCCGGGCCCACGCCTCGATGGCATCAAGTTTTTGGATCCGCTTCTGGGTGTTGCTCTGCGACTTGCACCGGCCCTCGCTATGCTGCTTGGCGGCAGCCAGGTCCCTGGTGCACTCACCGCACCGGAGGCACTTCCAACCATGCTCAAGGAGGACATGCTTGACCCGGGTGCTGCGTTTCTCACACCTGGCTCGAGGCCACACAAAGAGCTGCATCTGGTCCCCAAAGCGAGGGGTCCTGACTTGAGCAAACACGGCCTTGGTGAGGTTGCGCTGGCGGCACCCTTTGGCATGCACCTGGCGATCCTTGGGCCCGGTTTGCGGGAGTGCCGCAAGACGCTGCCACTCAGCCTTGGTGACCTCGGGGTGGGCCTGTGCACGATGCTGGTTGCGCAGGGCATAGTAGGAGAATCGAGAAAGGTCCTTCCGAGTCTCATGCGTGATGCCCTTGTTGCAGAAAGGGCAACACCAGATGAACTGAGCCCTTGGGCCGCAGACCCGCGTGAGCTTGGGTCGCCCGATGTCCGGCTGCAGGCCCTGCCCCTCATGGGCACGCTGGTAGTGGTTGTGGCGGATGTGGTAGTACTGGTGGTTGCTCGTGGCCTTGCGCTTGTAAGGGCACAAGTTGCACCGAAAAGTGAGGTCAGCCGGTGCCGTGGCATGGGCCAGCCAAGGGCAGCGCTTCGGGGGCACACGAGCTCGCTCAACCTCGGATTCATCGAAGGCCTCGATAGTGCCAGCAGAGGTGCAGGTGAAGACGGACGAAGTGCACAGCTCAACCGCCTTGCGCTTGGTGCCTGAGGGCCTTGCCTGGGCCGTGGCCTGTGATGACCTCGCCTGTGGCTCGCCCCTGGGCCTGGTCTGGGGACCATGCAATGCCTTTGCCTTGCACCTGGCACTGGGTGGGCACGGTCGGGAAAGGGCCTGCACCTTTGCCTGCGACGACACCCGGCTGCCTGAAGACCTTGCCTGTGACACCTGTGACCTGGGCCGCCTACCTTGCAAAGAGGGCTGGGCTCCAATCGAGGGCCGCCCCGCAGCGCTCGCCGAGGCGCTCGCCGGCATCGAGGTGGTCCAGACGGATGCCGGGCGAGCCTGGGATTTTGCCCCTTCGCCTTCCATGACCGAGGTCCACGGAGAGGATGGCTGGGATCGAACACAGGCAGCAGAGGAGGCAGTGAAGACCGATGGGGGCCCGCGGCCACCTGCACGCAGCCCAAAGACGGGTCCAGCTGTGATCTGGGCATACTCACTGGGATACTTCTTGTGACCCTCAGGCGGGAGCATGAGATCAACGTGGTTATCCTCGTACCACAACACCAGCATCTTGGCAGCTTTGCTATGGAAGGCGTAAGGAGCAAAGTTGAGGCCCGCCGGCAGCACGACGATTTTGATGTCCAGCACACGGCCCAGGGCCCTCAGCTCGACATCCGAGCAGTATGCCCCCTCCTTCTCCATAAGAGTGAGGTAGGCCGGGAAGTCCCGGTCCTTGACCGGCTCACTGTCCGGCCCTTTGCCGTCCCATTCCTTCTCGTACTGGGTGGCGTGCCGGCGCATGTGTTCGACCATTTGCGCACGGAGCATGCGCGGGTGATTGGGCCGAGAGTCACCAAGCCATTGAAGGCCGAGGCTTAGTGCGTGCAGCACGCAGGCTCCGTCACGAGGGCATGCCTTGAGCTGGAGGTCACCTGGCTTGGTGCGCACCTCCTGCTTGACACGTTTCTGCTGGGGCACTTCCTTGCCGTCCTCGCCCGTAGCGAGCTCCCCCGTGGGAGGTTTGACGATGGTGGCAGCGACAGGCTGCTCGAGAGCAACGACCGGGACGGCCTTCGAGGCGAGAGGCTTCTGCTTCTTGGAGACGACACGGAAAGGTGCCAGCGTTGCCCACAAGGACAAGGGCTTCTCCTGATGCTCGACGACGAACGGCACCAGGTCCGTGTCTGCGGTTGCAGGTTGCCCGCGGAAGCGAAAGCAGGACCCGAGGCGAGTGCGCCGATGCGACAGGATGGTGTACTCAGTGAAGCGTGTGGCCAAGAGCTGGCCGACGGCATCCACATCCCACTCGTGGGGCACACCATCGATGTGCCAGATGCGCACCGTTGCTTCTCCAGCTGCCATGGCACTTCGCCACGCCAGTCGCCCCCCATTGACGACCAAACCCAGGCTAGAAGCCTGGCGCAGGGCACGTTCAAAGTAGGCGTCGGTGGGCCTCGCGGACCCGGGTGCTTTGCCTCACCCACACGGACACCTTGCAGGAATGCAAAGCAGCGCTGGAGAGCAGGAAGCCCAAAATGCACACACACCGGGAGGCACTGAAGGGATTGCTGCTCAGGCTGCACATGATCCACACTGGCACTAGGATATGCATGCGCTTGGGGCACCGTCCAGATGGGGCCGCCAAGAAAATCCGTGCCACAGCTCTGCTCGATCACACTGCCACCTTGGGCCGTGGCGCCCAGGGGGCCCCCGAGGAAGTCCACACCTGCCGGTTCGCAAGAGGCAGGGGACTAACACTGACACAGGCCGAGAGCTGCAGCACCGAGGCCATGGCGGCAAGGAGAGCTACTCTCGGAGGGGGCCCCGAACGGGCCGGTCTTAGAAAACATGTTACCAAGGAGGCAGGGAGAGGCCGGGCTAGGTGGCTCTTTGTCCTTCCACGGATCTTCTTTGATTTTTCGCGGTTCTCGGGTCGGGGCCCTTACGCTACTACATTTGGCCGCCGGCTGCAAAGGAAGAGCAGCGTCGCCATGGTTGGTCGCCTCCACTTCGGAAGGCCCAGCCAGCTCCGCATTCTCCTCAATCTCGCCAGCAGCCGGCTGCGTCACCATCTCAGCGTCCGCACCAGCACCAGGTCTCCCACCAGAAGGCGGCAGCCCTGCTGCCACTTGCTCCCGGCTGCCCCGCTGCTGCTGGACATTTGCATCGCGATAGGCCTCCGCCGGAGCAAGGCCAAAATCCCCGTCAGCAAACCACAGGGTAGTGCTTGGGAAATGTCCCATCGCCTGGAGGCGCTCCACCCAAGGTGGGTCGCCATCACACCGCTTTGTCAGCTGCTCGGTCCAGAGAAGAACGAGGGCTTCACGTACACGAAAGAGCTCATCCACTAGCACAGCCGATCCCACAACTGCACTGGCATCCTCATTGAGCCTTTCCAGGAAGTCTTCGATAGAAGCATGCTCACCCTCAAGCATAGCTTTGAGAACATAGTTGCGCGGCGCAACTCCCCTGAACTTTCTGTAGCTGACAGGTAGGATCAGCTGAGTACTCGACGTCGCGGCCTCCATGGCCGCCAAATCCATCATCCTTTTCCGCTCAGCACCCACAGCGCCCCCCGAAGAAGGAGCCATGGCACAGTCGAGACAGACTTAGCCACCGAGCCTACCTACGGTGTTGTCCAGCTTGGAACTCGCGGAGTTCCTGTCTCGGGCCCAAGCTGCGTGTTCTCACGCCTAACTGCGGTGCTGGCAAAACTCGGGCATCGCAAAGAAGTCCCGAGCTGCGTCCAGAAACGTCTTTGGTTGTCGGTTGTGAAACCGAGCCTAAGAGGTCAAGCATGGAGCTCACAAGCAGAGGACGTGTGACAGCTGTACAATCCAAGGTGCTTGAAGCTGAGGCATGAAAGACCAAACAAACTAGAGTCGCAGAGGCGTAATTAGCCGATGCGTGAAAGCTAAGGCTCAGGAGAGCCGAGAAGAACGTGAGCCTTTGGCTCGGGTTTGCTTAAAGGAGAGGTGCAGGGCTACACAGCAAGCACAAACTGCCTAGCAAGAGCCTAAGCAGCATCGAAGTGACGTGCGGAGCAGCTGTACACCTCTACGGCTTCAGATGGACTCGACGTAGGAACTCAGAGGGACACAGCAGCGCGCCTCAGCCAGCAGCCCACGCCCCGCAGCACGCCACCGCAGCCAGCAGCCAGCGACGGCAGCCAGAGGAAGCAGTGCAGCACGTAGTTCCCCGAGGGAGCCACCGTAGAAGCCGTCAACGATGCAAATGTTCAGTGTCGTGGCGAGTTTCACGGATCATCTTGAATGACACGGGCCGGCCTCCCCGCACGAAGGTGCTGCGCCAAGACATTGGAGGCACCAGCAGAAGCCAAGATGGCCCCCCGCTCCCAAAGCGCTGCACGATGAAGCTCTGCATGCCAGCTCACCCTGCCCGATCCACGAGCCCGGTGCTCGCGAATGCTGTTGGCAGCCGCATCGGCCCGTTCGTTGAGGTCCCTGCAGCGGGCGGCCGTTAGGCCCCAGGGAGCAGTCCAGTTGGGCCGCCGACCATGTGCAGGAGTCCACGAAAGCTTCAGGTCCAAGCCACCGGCACGCACATCACGCAGTAGCCTCGCAGCCTTGTGAGCCAGGAGAGGCATGGAGCACGCCCCAGGTTGAGCCACAGCCTGAAGAGCAGAGCTGCAATCCACTAGGATGCCAACCTGACAGCCTGGAGCCAACTGCGCACGAGAGATCGCCTCGAAGAGGGTCGTCAAGGTGAGGAGCTCACATCGGAAAGCCGACTGGTCTTCACAGGCGTCACCGAAGACGAAGGTGCCATCGCCGCTTCCGAAGATCACGGCGCAGCCGCCGACGTCAAACTTAGCACTGCCATCGGTCGCGATGAGCAGACGCTCGCCCACAGTAGCGAAGTTGCGAAGATGCGCCACAATGCTCTGAAGGGTGTTTTCAAAGTCCGAAGCTGCAGGAGCTGCAGGGTACTCAGGGATTTCGGCTGCAAAGAGCCGTTCACCAGCACGGGTGGAAGGAGGTGCGAGACCTTGCCGCAATCCCGTCGTTGAGGAGCAACACCAGGTGAGATGCGCTCGGCTGGGCTGCAAGAGGCCACAAACACACGCCGTGGTGTCGGGTGAGCTCATCTCCAGCCGTTTGCAGTGGTACCAAATGGAGCCGCCCGAGCCCAGTGCTGCAAGGCGAACTTCACGGGTAGGCTCAGCCGCAACTGCGAGTCGGTGGCCTTCGAGCGCAAAGCGGGCACTGCGGAGCGGGGCCCCCAAGCTGAGGCCACGGGCCAGGGTCGCATCATCACGATGGCGGCAATTCCGGATCCGCCCACAGGCGTGCACGCCCCGCCACTTGTAGTGGTCCACCAGCCAGCGCTTGACCACATCAAAGGATTCCCAGCCAAGGTGGCACTGACGGAGGGTACCGGAATCGTCGAGTCGCGCCAGGGTGGCGCCGTTGCCATGGACCTGCCAGCCTAACCTCTGCACAACCGCCGCCGCACCAGGGAGGAAGCGACGCCAGTCACCACAAGCAACATCAAGCCCAGCCGTGTCGAGCCATGCCGGGGGCCGAGCCTTGAAACGCCAGGCAGCCCGCAGGGATGCCCAGTCCGCTGCCCATTCAGGGTCCAACATCCAGCCAAAAGAGGCACACAGCAAGACTTTAGGAGACTCGAAGGTGGTGCTTTTGCAGGACAGCACAAGTGGAGTGCCAGACGTCGCGCAAGCAGTCGCGGTCCGGGCAGGCGACACCACCAGCCCAAAACATGGCCGAGTGGACCAGCTGCAGCACGATGCGACGGAGCTGGGGCACCTCCCCTCCCAGGAGCTTGAGGAAGCGAAGGCGATGCAGGAGCAAGCGCGGGCTAAACGTAAGGAGCCCCAGGGCACCCTCCTGCATGTCGAGGGTGATGCCCAGCACCTTTAAAGTAGTCACGCGTGGGTAGCTCCTGGCACTGGCCCACTGATCGAAAGTCCCGACATCGGGTGGACACACCACAGCACACTTGCTGGCACGGCACTGGAAACCGAAGGCTTGGTCGAAGGAGTCAGAAGCCCTCAATGCCACATCCATTGCCCCAAGAGGGTCCGCACATGCACGTGCAGGAAGGCCACAACACCCGGTCGTCTATATAAAGATGAGGCAGTCGGTGCGTCCCTTGGCAAAGGACTGGACCCACATGGCCCAGATATGGCCGACCGCGACCGCGGCCATTGGAGAGAGTGGGCATCCCTGCGCCAGGCCCCGCGCCTGCTGGACCGGCCCTCGTGCAGAAAGAGCCTCGAGGCATCCTGGTAGAAGGAGGCTAAGAGCTCAGCGAGGTTAACAGGAGCACCAAGGTGCCGGAGCACCATACCCACCGCCTTGACATCAAGAGAGTCGAAGAACCGCGTGAGGTCCTGCTGGCAAAAGACTTTGCCGCCGCTCTGCCACGCATGAAAGAGCCGGGCATGAGCGTCGCCCGGGCCTCGACATGGTGCACCGCCCAAAGTGTGGTGGCCCAGCCATGTGTCCATCCACGGCAGCACATTGCGAGAGATGCAGTGGGCACCAGCTCGCCAGATGACAGGGCACAAGGCGATCGGTCGGTATTCATCCAGGCGCTTCGGCACCAGGGCAATCAGTGCCCGGCGCCAGAGTCGAGGAACGTACTTCGTGGAGAGCACCGCATTCCACAGAGTGGCCGCCGCTTCCCACCACTGCACTGGGAGGCGGAGCAGAAGCTCCGCTGACCATCGGTCAGGGCCCATCGCTTTCCCCCGCATTGCCTTGGTGGCCCGCATCAGAGCCTCAGCCTCGACCTGGAGCACAATGTCCGATTGCGGCCCGCCCGGGACACGGTCAAGGATGCGCTGCACGGCATCGAAGTTGACAGGGGACTCCGGCTTCCAGTGCTGCAGCCACACTTTACCATGCTCCTCGACAATAGAGGCAGGGTGAACAGAGGAAGGGACACCAGCAGGGGCCTGAGGAGATTGCTCCATGGCCAACTTATGGTCAGCTTTGCGCTTGACCCAGGCGAGGGCACGAGAAGGATCCTCCTCAACACGGCGACGCCACCTGTGCACTCTGGCCTCCGTCTCCTGCTGCTGAAGCTCGGCATGCAAATGAGAGATCACCTGGGTGGCACCTGCAAGGTTGGCAGCATGTATCACGGGAAGGTCGGGGAAAGTGGCACGCAGGAGCCCAGGCCGGCGGCCCACCGCACGCCACAGCTTCTGACAGTGGGGCTGTTGCCGCAGTTGGTGCAATTGCCCAAGCAACTTGCGAGATGAACGGAGGGACTGGGACTCATGACCCTGGGGGCCGACACGATGGTGAGACTCGTGGCGGGCACAAGGGAGCCAGTGGTCGCTCCTGCGGGCACCGGAGGCATCGAAGAGCGAAGTGGCACCCAGCGTGCGCTCGGCCACGTCTGACAAGAAGGCCCAGGCTTCATCAAGAGCCCCACCTGCAATAGAACTCTCAAAGTGTGCGGCATCCCAGACCCTACCAAAGTTAGACAGGATGTCTTCAGTGGCCGTGGCAGGGAGCTCACGAAACTTAGGCATGGAGAAGCTGTCGGCACGGCTCAGGCACCGCGTTTCGTAGAAGACGCACCCGTGGTCCGAAAGGTTCGGGCGCTCGAACTGCTTGACAGCCGTCGCAATGATTGACCAATGGGCCAGGCCAAAATCGATGCGCCGGGTGCGCGTGGGATTTGTTGGGCCGGCTTGGGTCCAGTCCGCCTCATCCAGAGACCGGAGCTCGCCATCGCACAACAGCTGCACCACAGCTTGCCGCTCAGACTGGTCCACATTGAAATCGCCGAGCAAGATGTAGGGGCCGCCGAAGGTCGCAGCTGCACGCCTAACCTCACCTAAGGCCTGGGCTGTGGCAGCGGGCTGACCAGGGAAGCCGTAGAAGGCCACCACAAGGATGATGCACTTGCTGCCAGCAGCCTGCATCTCAAAAGCACCTGCAGCACAGCGCGCAGCCACATGCGGAGGAAGCTTAAGGTTCACACGATGCATGGGGAGGGAGGCGACCAAGGCCACCCTATGCACACCCTCGGCAGCATCAATGTCGCTGAGAACAGCCCGATAGCCGTGGGCACGCCAGCGCTCACCAAAACCCTGGGCCGACAAAGGGTTGATGTCAGCCTCCTGGAGAGACAAGAGCTCAGCCCCACACGACTGGAGGAAGTCGGCACACAGGTCCACTTTGGGGATGGCCGTGCGGTTCGCATTGATGCTCAAAAGCTTGATGAACACGGCGAGGAGGGGATTCGCATGGAGATGGCAAGCTTGGCAGCCGCGGCAGCACGGAGCACCTGGGAGCAGAAGTCGGGATCGCCTCCGGCACGCCGGGCCCACGCCTCGATGGCATCAAGTTTTTGGATCCGCTTCTGGGTGTTGCTCTGCGACTTGCACCGGCCCTCGCTATGCTGCTTGGCGGCAGCCAGGTCCCTGGTGCACTCACCGCACCGGAGGCACTTCCAACCATGCTCAAGGAGGACATGCTTGACCCGGGTGCTGCGTTTCTCACACCTGGCTCGAGGCCACACGAAGAGCTGCATCTGGTCCCCAAAGCGAGGGGTCCTGACTTGAGCGAACACGGCCTTGGTGAGGTTGCGCTGGCGGCACCCTTTGGCATGCACCTGGCGATCCTTGGGCCCGGTTTGCGGGAGTGCCGCAAGACGCTGCCACTCAGCCTTGGAGACCTCGGGGTGGGCCTGTGCACAATGCTGGTTGCGCAGGGCATAGTAGGAGAATCGAGAAAGGTCCTTCCGAGTCTCGTGCGTGATGCCCTTGTTGCAGAAAGGGCAACACCAGATGAACTGAGCCCTTGGGCCGCAGACCCGCGTGAGCTTGGGTCGCCCGATGTCCGGCTGCAGGCCCTGCCCTTCATGGGCACGCTGGTAGTGGTTGTGGCGGATGTGGTAGTACTGGTGGTTGCTCGTGGCCTTGCGCTTGTAAGGGCACAAGTTGCACCGAAAGGTGAGGTCAGCCGGTGCCGTGGCGTGGGCCAGCCAAGGGCAGCGCTTCGGGGGCGCACGAGCTCGCTCAAACTCGGATTCATCGAAGGCCTCGATAGTGCCAGTAGAGGTGCAGGTGAAGACGGACGAAGTGCACTCTACCGCCTTGCGCTTGGTGCCTGAGGGCCTTGCCTGGGCCGTGGCCTGTGATGACCTCGCCTGTGGCTCGCCCCTGGGCTTGGTCTGGGAACCATGCAATGCCTTTGCCTTGCACCTGGCACTGAGTGGGCACGGCCGGGAAGGGGCCTGCACCTTTGCCTGCGACGGCACCCAGCTGCCTGAAGACCTTGCCTGTGAAACCTGTGACCTGGGCCGCCTACCTTGCAAAGAGGGCTGGGCTTCGATCGAGGGCCGCCCCGCAGCACTCCCCGAGGCGCTCGCCGGCATCGAGGTGGTCCAGACGGATGCCGGGCGAGCCTGGGATTTTGCCCCTTCGCCGTCCATGACCGAGGTCCACTGAGAGGAAGGCTGGGATCGAACACAGGCAGCAGAGGAGGCAGTGAAGACCGATGGGGGCCCACGGCCACCTGCACGCAGCCCAAAGACGGGTCCAGCTGTGATCTGGGCATACTCACTTGGATACTTCTTGTGACCCTCAGGCGGGAGCATGAGATCTACGTGGTTATCCTCATACCACAACACCAGCATCTTGGCAGCTTTGCTATGAAAGGCGTAAGGAGAAAAGTTAGCACGACGATTTTGATGTCCAGCACACGGCCCAGGGCCCTCAGCTCGACATCCGAGCAGTACGCCCCCTCCTTCTCCATAAGAGTGAGGTAGGCCGAGAAGTCCCGGTCCTTGACCGGCTCACTGTCCGGCCCTTTGCCGTCCCATTCCTTCTCGTACTGGGTGACATGCCGGCGCATGTGTTCGACCATTTGCGCACGGAGCATGCGCGGGTGATTGGGCCGAGAGTCACCAAGCCATTGAAGGCCGAGGCTTATTGCGTGCAGCACGCAGGCTCCGTCACGAGGGCATGCCTTGAGCTGGAGGTCACCTGGCTTGGTGCGCACCTCCTGCTTGACACGTTTCTGCTGGGGCACTTCCTTGCCGTCCTCGCCCGTAGCCAGCTCCCCCGTGGGAGGTTTGACGATGGTGGCAACGACAGGCTGCTCGAGAGCAACGACCGGGACGGCCTTCGAGGCGAGAGGCTTCTGCTTCTTGGAGACGACACGGAAAGGTGCCAGCGTTGCCCACAAGGACAAGGGCTTCTCCTGATGCTCGACGATGAACGGCACCAGGTCCGTGTCTGCGGTTCCAGGTTGCCCGCGGAAGCGAAAGCAGGACCCGAGGCGGGTGCGCCGATGCGACAGGATGGTGTACTCAGTGAAGCGTGTGGCCAAGAGCTGGCCGACGGCATCCGCATCCCACTCGTGGGGCACACCATCGATGTGCCAGATGCGCACCGTTGCTTCTCCAGCCGCCATGGCACTTCGCCACGCCAATCGCCCCCCATTGACGACCAAGCCCAGGCTGGAAGCCTGGCGCAGGGCACGTTCAAAGTAGGCGTCCACCTTCTCGCCGGGAAGCTTCTCGATCCATTGGAGCTTCGCCCCGGGCCCTGAGGTGCGAGCGGCATCCACGAAGACACCGTCCTTGCCAGAGTGGGCCAGGATGCCCTCAATATCTGCCTTCGGAATGCGAACAATGCCAAAGTACTGCTCATGAGTGTCGTTTCGCTGCTTTTCCAGGACCCAGGCAAAAGTGTCGAGCACCTTGATCCTTTGGGCCGCGACCCAGTCTACAGCGGCCTTGGAGGCGTTGCCCCCGAAAGCCTTCCAAGTGTCGGCTGAGGCGAACTGCTTTGGCACTTTAAAGTAGACGACTGCACTTTCAGTGGGTTTGATCTTGATGGACGTTTGGCTCAGGCCGGTGGGCTGCGGAGCATGGCCACTGGCACCTGCAGACGTGAGCTTCTGGACCTTAGCAGTCCTGAAGACCAGGCGATCCCCAATGGTGCCCGGGATGCGCTGGGCCTCCTCATCCTTGGATAGGAAAACAAGCAGGGCCTTGAAGCTCAGCCCGCTCCCTTGCAGAATGTTCGTAGCAAGCGTGACCTGGTCGGCCGAAACAAAGACTACAAGTTCGAGGACCTTGCTGGCATCAGCCTTGTCAATGAACTCAGCTAGGGCAGCGTACTCAACGACCGGAGCGTCCCAATCAGATTTTCGAAGCTTGAAGGCGCCTTCCGGAGCCTTGCGCGGGACGATCTGCCAGCCATCACCGGCTTCCTGCCCGCCTGCCTCACCACAGCCGCCCTTGCCCTTGCCCCGGCGTTGACCTGAGTCGCCTGGGCCACCGCACTGGGCCACCTTGGCTGGGCCGGACTTGTCTTCAGACTTGCCCTTGCCTTTGGCTGCGCTCTGGCGGCCACCTGCACGCTCGCTGCCCGAAACGTCGGGGTTGCCACCTGGGTGGCTCGTGGCCTGCTTGGCCTTACGCTTCCTCTTGCGCCTGCCCTTTGGCTCGAGCTGCACGTCTGGATCGCCGGACGGCCGGGCAGCAGCCAAGCCCCGGCCGAGATTGAGCGACGCCAGGGCCTGCTTTACTGCCTCGTCAACTGCCTTCTGGATCTGCTCCTTGATCGACTTCATGATGCTATCGCCAAGGCTATCCCCAAGGTTGCCAAGGTCAAGGTTGAAGCCAGGCCCAGGGTGAGAGGCCTCGCCCAGGCGGCATCCCCTCTTCCAGTCATGGCACACAGAAAGCATCGGCTCGCCTGCAGGTGCCCGGCGGCCTGTCACGCAACACCTAGGTGCACACTCAAACCCTAGGGGGCCTAGCGGCACCGGGGCCGGCTGCTGGCGTCGCGGAGGACCTAGAACCCAAGAGGGGAAAGGGGGATGGCATCCATCACCTCGGCTCGTAGGCTCAGCAGGGCCCGGGTGCGAAGCTTCGCCGAACCTAAACCCCAAATGCCAGTTCCAGGTAATCACTGCTGGTGGGCCTCGCGGACCCGGGTGCTTTGCCTCACCCACACGGACACCTTGCAGGAATGCAAAGCAGCGCTGGAGAGCAGGAAGCCCAAATTGCGCACACACCGGAAGGCACGGAAGGGATTGCTGCACAGGCTGCACATGATCCACACTGGCACTAGGATATGCATGCGCTTGCGGCACCGTCCAGATGGGGCCGCCAAGAAAATCCGTTCCACAGCTCTGCTCGATCGCACTGCCACCTTGGGCCGTGGCGCCCAGGGGGCCCCCGAGGAAGTCCACACCTGCCGGTTCACAAGAGGCAGGGGACTGACACTGACACAGGCCGAGAGCTGCAGCACCGAGGCCATGGCGGCAAGGAGAGCTACTCTCAGAGGGGGCCCCGAACGGCCGGTCTTAGAAAACATGTTACCAAGGAGGCAGGGAGAGGCCGGGCTAGGCGGCTCTTTGTCCTTCCACGGATCTTCTTTGATTTTTCGCGGTTCTCGGGTCGGGGCCCTTACGCTACTACATCTGGCCGCCGGCTGCAAAGGAAGAGCAGCGTCGCCATGGTGGGTCGCCTCCACTTCGGGAGGCCCAGCCAGCCCCGCATCCTCCTCAATCTCGCCAGCAGCCGGCCGCGTCACCAGCTCAGCGTCCGCCCCAGCACCAGGTCGCCCACTAGAAGGCGGCAGCGCTGCTGCCACTTGCTCCCGGCTGCCCCGCTGCTGCTGGACACTTGCATCGCGATAGGCCTCCGCCGGAGCAAGGCCAAAGTCCCCGTCAGCAAACCACAGGGTAGTGCTTGGGAAATGTCCCATCGCCTGGAGGCGCTCCACCCAAGGTGGGTCGCCATCACACCGCTTTGTCAGCTGCTCGGTCCAGAGAAGAACGAGGGCTTCACGTACACGAAAGAGCTCATCCACAAGCACAGCCGATCCCACAACTGCACTTGCATCCTCATTGAGCCTTTCCAGGAAGTCTTCGATAGAAGCATGCTCACCCTCAAGCATAGCTTTGAGAACATAGTTGCGCGGCGCAACTCCCCTGAACTTTCTGTAGCTGACAGGTAGGGTCAGCTGAGTACTCGACGTCGCGGCCTCCATGGCCGCCAAATCCATCATCCTTTTCCGCTCAGCACCCACAGCGCCTCCCGAGGAAGGAGCCATGGCACAGTCGAGACAGACTTAGCCACCGAGCCTACCTACGGTGTTGTCCAGCTTGGAACTCGCGGAGTTCCTGTCTCGGGCCCAAGCTGCGTGTTCTCACGCCTAACTGCGGTTCAGGCAAGACTCGGGCATCGCAACGAAGTCCCGATCTGCGCGTCCAGTAACGTCTTTGGTTGTCGGTTGTGAGACCGAACCTAAAAGGTCAAACATGAAGCTGACAAGCAGAGGACATGTGACAGCTGTACAATCCAAGGTGCTTGAAGCTGAGGCATGAAAGACCAAACAAACTAGAGTCGTTGAGGCCAGATTAGCCGAAACATGGGAAACTAAGGCTCAGGAGAGCCGAGAAGAAAAGTGAGCCTTTGGCTCAGGTTTGCTAAAAAGGAGAGGCGCAGGGCTACACAGCAAGCACAACTGCCTAGCAAGAACCTAGGCAGTATCAGAGCGTCATGCTGAGCGGCTGTACACCTCTACGGCTTCAGAAGGTCTCGAAGCAGGAGCTCAGAGGAGCGCAGCAGCACGCCTCAGCCCGCAGCCCACGCCATGCAGCACGCCCTGCCGCCAGCAGCCAGCAGCCGGCAGCCAGAAAATGTAGCCCAGCACGTAGTTCGTCGAGGGAGCCACCGAAGCCGTCATCGATGCAATAGTCCACTTCAGTAGCGAAGGCTCAAGAGTCAGCCTGAGCACCACGGGCCGGCCGCCCCGCACGAAGGTGCTGCGCCAAGACATTGGAGGCACCAGCAGAAGCCAAGATGGCCCCGCTCCCAAAGCGCTGCACGATGAAGCTCTGCATGCCAGCTCACCCTGCCCGATCCACGAGCCCGGTGCAATGCTGTTGGCAGCCGCATCGGCCCGTTCGTTGAGGTCCCTGCAGCGGGCGGCCGTCAGGCCCCAGGGAGCAGTCCAGTTGGGCCGCCGACCATGTGCAGGGGTCCACGAGAGCCGCAGGTCCAGTCCTCCAGCACACACGTCACGCAACAGCCTCGCAGCCTTGTGGGCCAGGAGAGGCATGGAGCACACACCAGGGTCAGACACAGCCTGTAGAGCGGAATTGCAATCCACCAAGATGCCAATCTGACACCCAGGATCCAAATGCGCATAAGAGATCGCCTCAAAGAGGGTCGTCAAGGTGAGGAGCTCACAGCGAAAAGCCGATTGATCCTCGCAGGCATCACCGAAAACGAAGGTGCCATCACCGCTTCCGAAAACCACGGCGCAGCCGCCGACGTCGAACTTGGTACTGCCATCGGTCGCAATGAGCAGGCGCTCATCCACTTTGGCGAAGCTGCGAAGATGCGTCACCATGCGCTGAAGTAGGTCTTCAAAGTCCGAGGCCGCAGGGGCCGCAGGGTACTCAGAAATCTCAGCTGCGAAAAGCCGTTCACCAGCACGGGTGGAGGGAAGTGCGAGGCTTTGCCGTAGCTCTGTCGTGGAGGTGCAACACCAAGTGAGATGTGCCCGGCTGGGCTGCAAAAGGCCACAGACACACGCAGTAGTGTCAGGTGAGCTCACGTCCAACCTTTTGCAGTGGTACCAAATGGAGCCGCCCGAACCCAGCGCAGCAAGGCGAACCTCGCGAGTAGGTTCAGCCGCGACTGCAAGGCGGTGACCTTCTAGCGCAAACCGAGCACTGCGAAGCGGGGCCCCCAGGCTGAGACCACGGGCCAACGTTGCATCATCGCGATGGCCACGATTGCGGATCCGCCCACACGAATGCACGCCCTGCCACTTGTAGTGGTCCACAAGCCAGCGCTTGACCACATCAAAGGATTCCCAGCCGGAAGGTGCCCGAATCGTCGAGCCGTGCCAGGATGGCGCCATTGCCTTGGACCTGCCAGCCCAACCGCTGCACCACCGCCGCCGCGCCAGGGAGGAAACGACGCCAGTCACCACAAGCAACATCGAGTCCGGCCGTATCGAGCCATGCTGGGGGTCGGGCTTTGAAGCGCCAGGCAGCTCGCAAGGATGCCCAATCAGCCGCCCAGGCAGGGTCCAACATCCAGCCAAAGGAGGCACACAGCAAGACTTTAGGAGTGGCGTGCCTCTGCAGGACTGCACACGTGGAATTCCAAACGTCGCGCAGGCAATCGCGATCAGGACAAGCCACACCACCAGCCCAGAACATGGCTGAGTGGACCAGCTGCAGCACGATGCGACGGAGTTGGGGAACCTCCCCCCTAGGAGCTTGAGGAACCGAAGGCGGTGCAGGAGCAGGCGCGGGCTAAACTTAAGGAGGCCCAGGGCACCCTCCTGCATGTCAAGAGTGATGCCCAGCACCTTTAAGGTAGTCACACGTGGGTAGTTCCTGGCTCCAGCCCACTGATCAAAAGTCCCGACATCGGGGGGACATACAACAGCACACTTGCTGGCACGGCACTGGAAACCGAAGGCTTGGTCGAAGGAGTCAGAGGCCCTCAGTGCAACATCCATTGCCCCAAGCGGGTCCACACACGTGCGGGACGGCCACAACACGCGGTCGTCGATAAAGATGAGGCAGTCAGTGCGTCCCTCGGCGAAAGACTGAACCCACATGGCCCAGATGTGGCCAATTGCGACCGCAGCCATTGGGGATAGTGGGCATCCCTGTGCCAAGCCCCGCGCGGGGTCGCCCCATGCACTGCTGGAACGGCCCTCATGCAGAAAGAGCCTGGAGGCTTCCTGGTAAAAGGAGGCTAAGAGTTCAGCCAGGCCAACAGGAGCACCGAGGTGCCGCAGCACCATACCCACCGCCCTGACATCAAGCGAGTCGAAGAACCGCGTGAGGTCCTGTTGGCAGAAGACTTTGCATCCACTCTGCCACGCATGGAAAAGGCGGGCATGCGCGTCGCCCGGGCCGCGACACGGGGCCCCGCCCAAGGTGTGGTGGCCCAGCCATGTGTCCATCCACGGCAACAAGTTGCGAGAGATGCAGTGGGCCCCCGCCCTCCAGATGACAGGGCATAAGGCAATCGGGCGGTATTCATCCATGGAGGCGCTTCGGCACCAGGGCAATCAATGCCCGGCGCCAGAGTCGAGGGACGTACTGCTTGGTGAGCACTGCATTCCACAAAGTGGCCGCCGCCCGCCACCACTGCTCGGGGAGGCGGAGCAGAAGCTCCGCTGACCAACGGTCAGGGCCCATCGCTTTCCCCCGCATGGCCTTAGTGGCACGGATCAAAGCCTCAGCCTCGACCTGGAGCACAATGTCCGATTGCGGCCCGCCCGGAACGCGGTCAAGGATGCGCTGCACGGCATCGAAATTGACGGGAGAGGCCGGAGTCCAGTGCTTCAGCCAAACTTTGCCGTGCTCAGCGACAATAGAGGCCGGGTGGACAGAAGAAGGGATGCCAGCAAGGGGCCTGAGGGGATTGCTCCATGGCCAAGTGGTGGTCAGCCTTGCGCTTAACCCATGCGAGGGCACGGCCAGGGTCCTCCTCGACACGGCGGCGCCACCTGTGCACTCTGGCTTCCGTCTCCTGCTGCTGGAGCTCGCCATGCAAGTTAGAGATCACCTGGATTGCACCTGCAAGGTTGGCAGCATGTATCACGGGAATATCGGGGAAGGTAGTGCGCAGGGCCCCGGCCCGGCGGCCCACCGCACGCCACAGCTGCTGACAGTGGGGCTGTTGCCGCAGTTGGTGCAACTGCCCAAGTAACTTGCGCGACGATCGCAGGGATTGGGACTCATGACCCTGGGGGCCGACGCGGTGGTGGGACTCGTGGCGGGCACAAGGGAGCCAGTGGTCACTCCTTCGGGCACCAGAGGCATCGAAGAGGGAAGTGGCGCCCAGCGTGCGCTCTGCCACGTCCGACAAGAAAGCCCAGGCGCACCACTAGCAATAGAATTCTCAAAGTGTGCGGCATCCCAGACCCCACCAAAGTTAGACAGAATGTCTTCGGGGGCCGTGGCAGGGAGCTCACGGAACTTTGGCATGGAGAAGCTGTTGGCACGGCTTAGGCACCGCGTCTCATAAAAGATGCACGCATGGTCCGAGAGGTTCGGGCGCTCGAACTGCCTGACCGCCGACGCGATGATGGACCAGTGGGCCAGGCCGAAATCGATGCGCCGGGTGCGCGTGGGATTTGTTGGGCCAGCTTGGGTCCAATCCGCTTCGTCCAAGGACCGAAGCTCACCGTCACACAGGAGCTGCACCACAGCTTGCTCAGACTGGTCAACATTGAAGTCGCCCAGCAAAATGTAGGGCCGCCGAAGATCGCGGCTGCACGCCTGACCTCACCTAAAGCCTGGGCCGTGGCATCTGCCTGGCCAGGGAAGCCATAGAAAGCCACCACCAGAGTGATGCACTTGCTGCCTGCAGTCTGCATTTCAAAGGCTCCTACAGCGCATCGCGCAGCCACGTGCGGGGGAAGCTTGAGGTTCACACGATGCACGGGGAGAGAGGCAATCAGGGCCACTCGGTGCACACCCTTGGCAGCATCAAGGTCGCTAAGGACAGCCCGATAGCCGTGGGCGCGCCATCGCTCACCAAAGCCCTGAGCCGACAAAGGGTTGATGTCAGCCTCCTGGAGAGACAAGAGGTCAGCCCCACACGACTGAAGGAAGTCGGCACACAGGAGGTTTGAAACCCCCAAAAGACCTGCTGATGCACATGATGCTCGGCCCCTGCCCTCCCAAACACAAGTCCAGCGGATTTAAAGTCCGTTGGACTTGCGTCTGGGAGGGATTTAGCTGGAATTGAAGCCCGAAAAAGGCCACTGATGAAGGTCTTTCCACTCACATGTTACTATTTAATTGAGTACTAAGTAGCAGTCGTCGTCGTGGTAGTGGTAGGCCTGGTGGCGGTAGTCGTGGTAGCGGTAGTGGTAGTGGCAGTGGTAGGGGTAGTGGAATGGCAGTGGCAGTGGTAGCGGTAGTGGTAGTGCAGTTGCAGCAGTAGTGGGAGTAGTAGCAGTAGTAGCTGTAGCGGCAGTAGTAGAAAGGGTAGTAGCAGCAGTAGCAACAGCAGCGCCACAGCCCGGCCTTGTTATGCAGGTGTCTTGCTTCGCTTGGCGGGTTTGGG